TTTAGAGGAGGATATTATCAACAGTATGATTTACTTGATTTTGAAAAGCTATTTCTTATTCTCTTTACGTACAGGCAGTTAAAATTTCTTTGCCTAAACTAAGCAAAATCAGCAACTGATTAATCAAACTTCTACATTCTCAGATCAGATATCACAAAGAATGATTTATCAGTCTCCACTAAACCAACTGAACCAATCATAGATGAACAGCAGTTATAACATTCATTTCCTACAAAAATGAACTAATGGACTATGTAAACAGCACAATATTCTATGCTAATTGCTTCTGGGTCACTACTTGAAAGATATATTTCATTAATCTTCAATGTAGCAAGAAAATAGCAGGTTTGTGTGTCCAAAATATGGTTCACATTCATCTAGCTACTGAAAGAAATTAGTCATTTTCAGAATGTCCCACTGAAATCCTTGAATTTCTTTAACAAATACAAAATTTTTCACTATTTCATGTGACAATTATTAAAACTCTTTATAACTGCAGTTATTTATCAGAATTCTAGCCAATATCTATGACTTCCTCTAAAGGCAGTACAAGCAGACCTTATAAAAAGCCTCTGCTGGCGTACAGATAACAACAACGGAGGATTAATCATTTTTGCTATAGCAACCACTGCACTGCAATTACCATAGTGACATGAGAAGAATAGAAAAAGTAATAATGAAGAGCTCTTACTTGTTTGGAGCAATGTGTCAGCCAAATAAGTGCAGAATTCTCAAGTGCCCAGCTCTGCTCACCTTAATCAATTGAAATGCCATTTGTAATAAATATGTCACAAAGCATTTCTGATTTATTTTTAAAAGGGCAATACAAATTTGTCAATTGTTCACTGTCCTTTGGTGAGGTTAATGTACAAATCATTGCTATCATGTAACAGAGGGGAGAGCAACTTATTTTTAAGGTTCCAATTTAGACATAAAGTCTAAGGTCAAGTACGTTACCGTAAATATATTGATATATGTACACCTGCTTTTGTGTATTTTTCCATTAAAATATACACACACATATACACAGAAATGTAATAGACCTTACAAATACATATATCTATGTATACAAACATACATTTGTGTATCTTTTTCATGAAAAGATATATCTTTATTATTTGAGTACTTCAGGAAGACTTGGTGCTAAGATTACTCAAACATTTGTAGCAATTTCTCATGAGTCACCTAATTGTTCATTTTTTCCAGCTCCACTTATCCAAATAATTTCTACTTGATAGCTGTTGTTCAACCTGCTTAGTTTAAGAAAAGGAAACCTTACCCAAAATAGTTGCTTTTGGAGGTTCTCAGTCAGGATCTTATTCAAACTCCCCCCCCTTTTTTTTTGTCCAAATGACAGGTAACTACTTATGGCTGGAAAGGGTACTTCAAATAAAACTTTTGGAAGCAGGAAATAATGTCAAAGTCACCTTTTGAAACAAAACATGTTTTGCTAAGGTGTAGGTGTGACCAATGACTCAGAATCTTGGACTGCAGAAGTGCAAGAGTGTACAAATAGAGAGGTGGGAGTAAATGAGCAGGCGGCAGCACGAGTGACACGGTCCCAGGCTCCTGTCTGGACCTGACACCATTCCAGAGACTAATATGCACAGAGTTAAGTAAATGAGAGGTGGCAGAGAGCAAAGCACAGCGAAATGTGGAATCCTTTGAGACCTTTAGTGAACAGCAAGGCTGGCACATCAGCTGTGAGGTACAGAAAACATCAAGAAAGGAAAATAAGAGAGAGGCAGGCAATACAGAAATAAGAATGTAACAGGCTTGTGACTGTATATTGAACGTGTGTCAAGTCCCAGCAGCTGTATCCGGGTGCCAGCAGTGAAGATGCCTGTAGCCTGCAGAGAGCAGAGTGAGAGCACTGTGGTATGTTCTGCTCAGTGCAGCACACACAGTTTGGCAAAAGCTACTTAGGTAGCAGGTAGCACAATGTTCGAATGCATCTCACTTCTCCGTTTGCATTGTACTATTCTGATTTATTGTGCCATGAAACTTCTTTCAGGCCCCGTTACAGATAGCCAAATTATTGTTTCAAACTGCAAACCATCGTACCTTAACTTCCTTTGACTTACATTATATACATAATAATGACAATCATTATTTCATCATTTTTGAAACAGGGAAAACTGAAAAAAAGGAGACATTCAAGTCTGACAAACTGTTTCTTGTAAGGCGTTTTCTTTAACTTCAGCTCAGTACAAGCAGAATCTATATGATAAATGCCTCCCTCTTGAAGGTATTTAAACATACGCAGACATAGCACAGTGGGTAAATGTAGTAACTCTGATACAGTGTCCTCGTAATGTGAGATTTTGCCTCTATTGTTAGACTGGTGCAGAACAAAAAAAATGCTGAAATGAAAACAAGTATGAGCAGAACTCAACTAAGATCCTCCTTCGCAGTAAAAGTTTCTTTTCCTCCTACCAGTTACTGTGTAAGCCACACGTACACAGAGCTATTTAGCTGTAGGTAGGAATTTTTGATGGTGGTCTGGTATTATTCAGCTTCCCTCAGACTGCACTGAATAAAGAACATGGAATTTAGAATTATATCCCTTTGTTACTCATACACACTATTTTAGTACCATATTCACTTCAATATTCTCTAAAACTTTGTTCAATGAGAAAATAACTATTTATTGTCTTATTTTAAATTAATGCTGTGAAGATGAAGAAAAAAAAAACCTGATGCACTACTCAACTTCCTACCCCCTGTTACAACAGAAGAAAGATTAAAGGTGTAATAGTACTCAAATAGTAATTTTGAAATCATAGTTTTAAGTATTTCCATAGTTGGCAGAATAAACTTTGTTCCTCTATCAAAATACATTCATACATTTATAGCACTTAGGAAATTAATGGGCAGAAAGACCATTAAACCATTTCCCACCCTTCACCCAGGATGAACTTGTGTGATCTGGACTGAAGACAAAGATGACTGTGTATGTAGCTGTTTGGGAAGAGAAAGCAAGACCTTCATACTGCAAAATTTATGTGTGTGTTCTACCTTAGAGATGAAATGGCTGAGATCTTTCACAATAACCAGCTCCAAAAAGTCAGCTTCTTGAAAAGCAAGCATCTCCTCCCACAGATGATACCGGTGACTCCTTGTCTCTCCATCCGCTTTGCCACACACACTGTCCCTCTACATTTATTTATATGTATTTCTTAAGTCCCTGCACACATTTTCTCCCATTATATTCATTCTTAGTAGACAGACTGCTCAGCTGTTGCCTCACCCTAGTGCATTGCCTATGAATTTGATGGTAATTAGCAGAGCAGGGTGTGAAACAACTGTTGATGGTACCTCACAACAACAGCTCCCGCCGCCACTGTCTTTCCTAACTTCGGCTGTAGCAAACCCACAGAGAACTGCACCCCTATGTCACTGAACGTCCCATTCATTCACGTTTTCAGAACTTTAACTTAAACATTTCAACAGTCACACTTTGCTTTGCAAAGAAATCCCAGGGTTTATTAAAATCCCATTAATTATGATAAATTTCTAGAGTTATGATACATCATTTTGGCTCATTAGCTACCTAACATAGAGATGAAATTATCCCACATAAAGTTTGCTTTGCCCATTGCCATTGTTATAAAAAATATAATCTGATTTCTACTTAGTACCTATTAAAACACATTATTCAGAACATCAGCTTGGAAAATGGTTACAAAAACTCCAACACGTAGGGGTTTTTTTAACTACAAAAAACTTACTTAGTATTCTGTTCTTTTCTTCAGATATTATATAGACAAGTATTTATATTTGTAGATAAACAGTAAAAGATTTTACAAAACTTTTACAAAGACTTTAGAAAATGTGTTAAACATTTGACAGAAGAACCTAGAGCATTGTTCAGCTTCTACCTTATTTCATTTACTATAGATCTGTAAACCCATCCGTAGTCGCTAGGTTGGGATCTAAGGATAATTAACTATCCAGCAGAGGTGCCTTCTAGTTCCACGTCAGTGAACAGCTTTGCTAGAACTCCTAAGAATACTTTTAAGTGTCAGCACAGTACAAGAGAATCTGACTCTGGGTCTAATACAGGGTTCAACTTTTTATTTATAAAAACCTGTCATTTTCTTTAAAACTGATTTTAAATCAAAATGATGCAGCCAGGCTACCGTTTGACAACATTTTAAGACCAGCTCAGTCTCACAATTAACAAGCGTGTTGAATAAATATAAGTAAATCAGTCCTTAAGAAGTTATTTACACTCAATAATATCAGCAGAATGAGGCCTGAAGCACTTCCCCTTGGGTTACAAATTCTTATTTTTGTGCATGGAAAAAAGGTGTTTTTGGACTACAAACTAACATTTCCTGTTTGTAACATGACACACAGATTGATAAGACACAATTGACTGAAAAAGTACATTCTAATAGAAAAATACAGGCTTTCACTAACGCTTGCAAAAATAGATTTACATATAAATTAAGGTTTTCTTCTGTCCAAAAGCATTCCAGAATTTTCAATTACAACCAGTAAGATTTTACCATGTTTCATCCATCTCTACACAAGTCATTTAAATTCATTTACATTTTGGCTTTATTAGTTTGTACAAGTGAAGAATTTATGAACATTTACTCATAATATCTTCTGAACAAGATTATGGAAAAAACCAAAATAATGAGAAACAAAATACATGCCTGACAAAATTAAGTCTGCATCGTACCGTGCCTCAACACAACTGTACATGTGCTTACATGTCCTTAAATGTCACATTCAAAAGCAGATATATGAGAGGCAGAATGTACTGGGATAGTCAAAGTTGAATTGAGTTGAATTTAATTAAAATTATTCCCAGACATGTCAAGATTTACAGTCAAATAGATACAAACACCTTAAAGGAAAAAAAAAAAACACCTCCCAACCCAAAGTTTTGGAGCCAAACATCTTTATTTGTTTTTTGCTTTAGAGTAACTAACCAAAGCATGGAAAAGGAAGAAACACTCAGGATAGCTTAGAAGAATCAAACTCACCAAAATCTGCAAACACGGACTGTCCAACAACTTTCACACCACTGGGCATTTTCTTAGTTTTTCCAGCTTTAGAGAAGTTCCCATCCTATCAAACAGGACAAAGATGATGGAAAAAATGAATTGCAGAAGTGATAAAATTTGACTTTTGAACCAAAGAAAAGCCAGAAATACAGAACTCACAACCAGCTGCTTGAGGGAAAAAAAAAAAAAAAAAAAAGAAGAGGTGTCTAGTACAAATCTCATTACTTTTACCTAAAAATAGCATTTGAAGAATATCTGTCAGGTATTAATTTTTTTTTTTTTTTCATTTTCAGTTCAACACCTGGTTGAAGAGACCCACGTTGTCACAGGCAAGACTATGCTTCCCATTCTACAGTGACTCGATGGATAAATTTTCAGGTAAGTAAAGAGGCTTTGAGGCTTTAACTAATAAGAAGCTCATTAAGCACTTTCTGTTATAACAAAAAAGTGAACTTTTAACATACACATGCTAAGATTCTTAACTACAGTCCTTCGTATCAAGGATACACTTAGTTTCAAATCAATTAATTTCATTAATTGTTATTAACAATGAGGTTCTTCACTGACCCTGGCCAGGTTAAGTAATACAAAACAGAATCTCAATAGATAAATAAAAATAATCCACTGCTCTATTTCTCCCCAACCTTGAATTGCATTTGTGACATTTGTTTAACATAGGACTCAGGATTTTCTCAACTTGTGTAAACATTATAACGGTCAGAAGGGAGATTTTTAAACCCCTGTTCCACAAAATCTTACCCAAGACCTGAAGTCATAGTTCTAAGAAAGCTTACTGAAAGAAACAAATCTTTGAGAAAGCCAGAATAAAAAAATCTGATCAGCCTTCTCTTCATAAATCATCACAGTAAGTGTCAGTAACCTCCCCGAGCAGCTGCTGGCACAGGAGGAGCCCCGCGAAGGTGAATGAGGCTGATTGATTCACTCAGCAGTCGTGGCAAAAAACCTGCAGAGGAGCTTCTGCTGAGTAAAAGATCTCCTCCAGTGACATTCTGCCAGTCGGGAACAATAGCGCAGTTAAGGGCCCCTTGACATCCCTTCCACTCATTCTGAAACAAGGACTGTCAGATGACTTTAAAAAAAAAAACAAAACCAAACCAAAAAACTTGTCTGTGTTTTAACAGAATGATGATTTGGGTTTTCTCTTACCTTATTTACCCATGTCTCAAACTCAATGTTTTGTGAATCTGGTGATGTAGTAAGGAACAAATCTGCGAAGAAGAGAAATCAAATATTTAACAGTAGAATACACACAAATATTTGATCACTCAAGACAGATATGTAATATAACTTATTTAAAAAAATCTACTACCTATATTTTATAAGTCACAAATATATTATATTCCAGTGATGTTCAGATGTATAAATATGAAGCAAGAAAGATTAAAAAACAAAACCCCTCAAAACTTTTCATCCCTGATACTTTTCTGTATGAATATACCTTTTACACTCCATTTCTACATGTGTATATTTATACAGAAATTCAGTTTGCCTCCCATGAGCCAGTAAGCGCTGGATGCTATATATGCATACTGAGGAACCTTTCTTAATAGTAAAGACAGAGACAGACCTTAAAGCTTGGAAAATGCATGCACAGTTATATTTTTAGTAAGTCAAAATTAAAAATTAAAACCCACCAACCATCCTTTTATTTTGGATAATTTGAATTAAGCAACATATATACTGTTGACAGGAGGAGAAAAGGAGATGGAAAAATATTTTAGGCTTCCTTTACACTAAAATTCTCTTAAACATCAACAGCACAAAAGAGAGCTTCAGAGAATTTATCAATGCCTACTTAAAGAGGAGCTTATTCATTGCCATTCAGGAAAGCACCTAAGTTAGGAAAATGGGAAGAAAAAGCTTTATAAGGGACATTAAAAAAGGGGAGGGGTGTTTAAGAAAAAAATTTAATAATTATGAAGCCCAATGTTAAGAAGCCCAGATTTTAAGAAAACTATGCTTTTAGATTTAAGCACTTGTTTTCTTTTTCAGTGTTCTCCACTGCAATTTAAAATATCACTATGTGAGTTAGAACACAATGGTTACTTTGTGCACAGAGAGAAGTAATTTAAAAAAATAAAACAGAAAGCATTAATGCTTTACCCTGAGGTGGTTTACTGAATAAGCAGGTGGACTGCTGTACAGGGAATTTCCAATGGCACAATAAGGGGTATTCTCTTCCAGAGGAAAAAACCCAAACCAACAAAACCAATAAACCATACCACCACCACCACCACCCCCAACAAACAAACCAACCCCCTCCTCCCCCAACAACAAAACACCCAACACATACACACAAAAAACCCAACAAACATTTTGCTTACAGATTCCACCCCCCCCAGCTTGAAAGCTGTACCATTTCATTTTATTTCCCTGAATACATGAAATATCTATTTTCTTTAGAATATATGTGAAAAGCATGATAGTGTGAATTATATTGATGCTTAAGTTTTTCTTGAAGGCAAGAGACAAAAGTAATGGAAACAATCTGCAGATATCATAGATGGAACTTAAAAATATATATAAGTTTTCAAATTTTTACTTTGCATGTAGAAGGAAGTTTGTGCAATATTGTTGATCACTATCAGATATATACCAGAAAAAAAAAAAATTAAAAAATATAATACATTCACAGGGGAAAAAAAAGAGAAATATGGAACAGAAACAGCTTTAACTCTTCTTCCTACAGTCCAAAATGCTACTAAATCTTTGTAAAGAGTTTTTAAGATTCAAATAAGTATTTCAAGTAGGGTTGTAGTATATCCATGCTGTAATTAGTCCTGCAACTTGCAACTAGTTATGGGCTATGTCACATACAGATTATGCCACAATAGACTCTAAGTGTTACGCTTAAATACAGAGCTAATGAGTAGCATTGATCAGCCAGCAAGTCAGGGTGCCCACCCTACAAGACATAATTCACCCGGTAGTATTACACTAGCGAACTGCTCGAAGCTGAATTTCTCTTATGACGTTAAATAAAGGTTTTTATGCAACACAGTTATGCTTCTAGGGTAGAAAAAACAAATAAAACAGGCAGATACACATTATGCTGGTGGCATTACAAAGTTCTTAGCTCTAAATCATTTATTTACAGTTAAATCAAAGTTCATTAAAAATAAAACCAGCAAAAATAAAACAGCACCATTTCTTGGCTAATTTAACATGTGATGGAATTTCATTGAACAATTATTCTTAATTTTCAAAGCTATACTACTGCAGCATGCTACGACAGCTTCTCCGTTAAAAAAATAAATAATCAAAATGTTTTCTTCACCGGGAAAATGCAGTACCACCTATAGCATCCTTCAATAGAGCTTTCTGAATAGAGAGAAATGAATGTCCTTAACATCTTAATGGGAAGTCCTATAAGCACTCCTATGAATTGAAGTATCTATAAGTACTAATATATCTTGTTTTCACTTGAGCTTTACAAAGAAAATATATCAGTTACAGCTCCTCAGAGAGCATAATGGCCATGTTTGACTCAAAAGACATCCCATATTGTTCATCCCAGACAGAATTACAACAGGCCACAGAAAGTCAGGCAATCAACGGGACTGGGCAACAACGTCAGCAAAATAAACCACAAAGCACACTATCCCCATTTTTGATACACAGCCAGTGTGAACTCACTTAAGTATTAGTGAATTACGTGTAACAGAGTCCGGATGCTTATTGTGTATTACGCACAAACACCTATTTTGTAAAAGCATGTAACAAAGAGAGAGAGATTTGCAATGGATTTTTGTTATGCATTGAAAAACCCCCTTTTTTTTTCCCCATTCTTAGTCCAAAGCATATTCCATTAGTTGTTTTTCCCTCCTCATTTGATCTGATTTCATAATAAGTATATACAAATATTCAGAAATATGACTGCACAGGGAATTGCAATAATATAGGAAGACAAGGAACAACAGGCATATAAAATCCCAGATGTTAGGACCAGAATCAAAAGTAGCTTAAAAATAAACATTAAACTCTGTGAGAATAAAAAGGGATGAGAGAACCACGGTGGGTGGGATGTCACACAACTTAATAAAATCAAAGAATACATTTAGCTATCTGCAATGTAGGAGGAATAAATCAGGATAATAAATGCAAGTCAAACTACAAAGAGCTAATAGAAAGATAATAATTTAAAACATCTGAAATGTTTACTATGTTAAAAATGTGGAGGTGCTTACAGATTTGAAGTCTTTCTTCAGCCACTGTACAAACCAAGTATTTTAATGTGAACACTTGTTCCACTTTTTGAGAGCAGGAAAATAGAGCTATGTTTTGGGAGGAGGGAATCTACCTTACAGTTCTTTGGTTTGCAAGAGATCAGTGCTGAATATGGCCCTCTGCAGTAGCTTAAAGATGATTAAATTCAGCAACCTGCCTGTTTTGCACTGAACTCCCTCCCACCCCCAAAACAGCTTCTCTTGGAAGTTAGTAAATTACTTTTGCCCTTTGTTCTTCTTCGTGTACTCTTCTGGCTCTCCTTTTTTCCCTAACTTGAGGCATACAACATTATATCCAACAAACGCAACCACCACCGGAGAGCAGCTCCGAGGCTCCTGTAATATTACACTGCCCTGGTAAAATGCAAAGGCAGGCAAAGAGAGCAGATAGTCTTCCAGAAATAGTATAGAGGAGCCAGTGCCACGCTGCTCCCGAGTTACAGCTACAAGCTGTGATTTCCCATAGGACAACTCAGTAGAGGTACAGCCCCACCACCTCGAGTTCCACAGCCCCCCGAACCAATTCAGCTGGTGTGTTATTGCCAATTGTCCTCCTTTTTGTCCCTAAGCCTTCTTAAAAGCTACGTGTCTCAAATGCTCACGCATGTTTTTGTGATTAAACCCTCTTACACTGAAATCAAATCGAATGCTTAACATTTACAAGCAGTTTTCCATTTTGATCAAGAATGCCAGAGATTTCAAAGCAAGCAAAACAAAAACATTTCTTTGCAGCAGCAGGATAAAAATGCAATGTAATTTAGACAATCCAAATAACTGTTAACAGATTTGTATAGCTCAGAATTACAAATGTTTCTCCAAGTCTGTAGGAAAGAAACCTATAAGAAAAACCAAGCCCTGCCTGGCACAATGTTTTAGACCAGATGATTTCCAAAGGTTACTTCCAACCAAACTTACTCTATGATTCTGTCTGGCTTTACTATCTAAGCTTTTGTCCCTCAGAGCCAAAAGCACACGAGAGAGGAAACAATTAAGCATCTGTGCAATTTACAAACATCTTTTTCTATCCAGCCATAGCAAGAACTCCTTGCAAGCATCTCCTTCCCAAAGGGTGTCCATGGCAGACTTCCCTCACCACTATTATTATCTCTTTCCTTGTCTATTATTACTAAATTCTTTAATATTTAAAGTCTACAGAGGAAGAGATGGAGTCAACAGATGTATTAAAATCTGTATGTGCACTACCTGAATTACACAATGAAGATGTACACAATTCATTTCTGCAATTTTTGCATTTTAATACACTGATCATCTTGAAAACGACAACGCTTTTGTTTTGCTTCTGGCTAGATCAAGAAAACTCAGCTCGTCTTTCATACACGGATACCTATCAGATTTGTTTAAGGAATGCCTATCAGATTACACAGGCTCAGGAAAAGTCACTTGTCTAAAGATACGCTGCCACATTGCCTTTGGAAGGCTGTAGGAACCAAAATCATTGGCACACAAATCTTTAAATAGGACAGATAAAGTATTGAGGGCTGGATCATAATGCTCTTTCAAATGCTGATGAGCCTCACAGCAGCACAACATGAGATATTTACAACCTGAGGTTATAAAAATCAAATAATCTGGAGCTCAACACTCTTAATTATTTACAGAATATGAAGGTGAAACTCTGGATACTTTTACTATACAATAGGCACATAAAGGGATACTAAAAACAACAGGCAAGGGACAACAATAGGAATACCAAAAACAATAGACAATTAACAACCCTATGCCAATCCTAGATTCTGGAGATATGCAATGGATATAGGCAATGGGACAAGGAAAAAAAAAAAAAAAAAAAAAAAAAAAAAAAAAAAAATGCGTCTTGCCACTTTCCTACTGCCAGAAAAGGAATATTGGGTTAGCTAGATGGACCTCTAGACTAGGCCTGCAGAGCATTTTTTATGTTTTTAGGTTGTGACATGACGTAGTAAAGAAATAAAATCCTTGATAGTTGGGACGGGGGAAGATCT